CTTAGCTTCTCTGGAAGATGAGGGATATACCTTCAAGTCTGATAACAAAATTTTGAAAATTATGAGGGGTTCTCTTATAGTTATGAAAGGGCCTAAGAGGAATGGGCTGTACTATCTTAAGGGTAGAACTGAAATACCATTTGATTCTAGCCTTCTTGCTATAAGTAAAGACAAAACTGAACTTTGGCATAACAGAATGGGTCACATTGGGTTTAAAGGGCTAAAATCTTTAAGTTATCAAAAATTAGTTGGAAAAGATGACATTGAAACTATGGAATTCTGTGAAACTTGTGTTTTGGGTAAGTCTCATAAGGTGAGCTTTGAAACTAGCTCTCATAGGACCAGCAGACCATTGGACTATGTCCATGCTGATCTATGGGGCCAGGAGAAGTACTCCACATTTGGTGGGAGCAAGTACTTCTTGTCCTTAGTGGATGATTACTCAAGAAAAGTTTGGATTTATCCTTTGAAAGCTAAGTCGAAAACTTTTGGAAAATTCAGGATTTGGTTAAAGCCTGTTGAGAATCAGTTACACAAGAAACTTAAAACGTTAAGAACTGATAATGGGCTTGAATTCTGTAATAGCGAATTTGACAAATTCTGTAAGTAGAAAGGTATAACAAGACACAGAACTGTTATATACACACCTGAACAAAATGGGGTCGCTGAAAGAATGAACATGACCATAATGAACAAAGTTAGGTGTATGTTGATTAGCTCTGGCCTTGCGAAAGGTTTTTGGGCTGAAGCTGCAAGTACTGCAGCTTATCTGATTAATAGGTCTCCATCCAGCAGTATAGGGTTTAAGACCCCATAGGAGTTGTGGACGGGAGAGCCTCCAAATCTAGAACACTTGAGGGTGTTTGGATGTGCTGCATATGCATACCAATCTGAAGGGAAACTTGAGCCAAGGGCTGTCAAGTGTGTGATGTTAGGGTATCCCGAGGGTGTGAAGGGCTATAGGTTATGGGTTTTAGGGGTCCAAGGCATTAAGATTATTAACAGTAGGAATGTAGTCTTTAATGAATCTAAGATATC